ATTTATTTCTCTCTCCACCGTCTTGTTGTCAGCAGCAAACTCATTGATATACTATTTGGTTATACTGGATTGTCTGTTTCAATCTTATAGGAATGTCCAAGTCTGAAGGTCAAGTTTATTGTCAAGGTTGTCAACACTGCAGGAGTATGTTAAGAAATAAGTTACAAATACAGGGTATAAAAGAATACCAGAGAACACCTAAACAAGAGAGCTACAAATACAGGGTATAAAAGGATACCAGAGAACATCTAAACAAGAGAGCTACAAATACAGGGTATAAAAGAATCATGAGGAACACCTAAACAAGAATCAACTAGCTAAACAAGGTACATGAATCATTATCGATAAACCACAGAAAATAGAATACAGACTTAACAATGAATAAAGTCATTACTTGCTGCATCCGTCGTATCGTCAATGTCATAGTTGCTACTGTTAAGTTATGGATTTCAGCCCTTCTGTCATATACCTAAGTCCCTGGAGTCATAGAATAAAATACATTTACGAATGGCAACAAGTATTTGAGATGAAAAGCACCACAAAAACTAACAATGTCCGCCATTCAACATCTTTTAATCGATTAAAACAAAACTTGGTATACACTTTGTACTAACAAGTGCATTCTAATGTTGTGCATAATAGTATAAACCTAAAATAATAATTAAAACATAATTGTGTTATTATCAATAAAAAACAAATAATAAACAAACTATTCTAAAAACCTTATCCAACTATACCTTCCTTGAAGATGGTCTTTCTTTTTGCAGGTCATCGTCCTATAATCAGGCTACATTTAAGCAGAATTGTCCTTTGTTTCATTCAACTGTGCACCACTCTACATGGGCAACAACGTATTGTGTCAAAATCCAACAATGAACATAATTATGAAATAAATGAAAATTTATTCAAATACTTGCCAAAACAGAGACAGCATGAGTTTATCTTCCGAAGAAAGACAAGATATAGAAAACATACTGAAAGTAAATGCTAACAAAAAGATGCTACTGAACTATGTAATGCAGAAAACTGGAAAGAAAGTTGTTTTGAAAGATTTGGAGGACGAGACGGGTGGACATCTTTGGTATGCAGAGGGTCAAGCTGTAGTAGAATCATCCATTTGTACATACACATTCTTCAAAATCAATTTTAATATGCATGTATTATATTTTTAAAAAAGAAATATTTTTAGGGACTTCTTATTAAAGTAAAGAAGATCTATTTTAATATGCATGCTTTGCTTATGTATAAATGTTTTAAAGTAGACATATTTTTTAGAGATTTCTTATTCAAGTGTATGTTTCTACATTTTATTCTATTTTTAATTAATATACTGAAAATCTGAATGAAGACCGTCAAAATAGCAAAACTATATATAAATCGCTATAAACGAGAACGTCCAGAACATTATTGTATGTGCTAAAAAATACTTGAGCCTATTTTCCTTCATGGTTCGGTTCAATCGTTTGACAAAACTAGACTTTCCCTCATTTTTGGTAGACTTAAGTTTAATGTCGTGTTTTGAAGCAAATTCTTAACATCATTGTAAAATTCAGTTCCTTTGTCCGTCCAATGTTTCTTGGGAATTCGTGATTTGAATTCCGATTGAAATGAATCTTTGACTGTTACACCGTTGTTATTTTTAAGGCACTGGCTACGATTACGTTGAAATGAAACAATAATAAAAAAAGTTATCGTTATTATCAATAAATAATAAACAAACTATTCTAAACTTGACTTACCATGCAGTGGAGGAAGGTATAATATTTGTGTCTACGGTTACGTTGCGTTATCGTTACGTTAGATTTATTAAACTTTCAGTAACCTTCAATAGTCTTGTAGCTTAATTCTTCGAGATAATAATAATAATAATAATAATAATATTATTCAACAAATAATGTTTAAATAGTTTTTAAGTATTAACTGTTTTAATCTCCTTCAAGATAATAGTTTAGTAGAGCCAAATGCGAACAATATAATTCCATGGTTCTATGCAAAAGTTTAGAAGAAAAGTGTTCACTTTTATGTATTTAAGGTAGCACAATACAAAAGCAACTAAATTTTATCAAAATATAATTTTCAGCTTTTTTTTGTTACTTCTTAATATTACAAAACCACAGAAGAAAAATAAGTTCCCATATCTTGCACTTTTAATGAGTTTTGATGATAATTAGTTTTATAAACAATGCACGTGTCTGATTGATACAAATAAGAACATGTGGGCAGTACTTTGTGGTTAATCAATAGAATCATTTGATAGCTTTATGACCACTGACCAGCTATAAAAAATAACAGTCATAGAAATGAGGTTGAATTAAGGTTTTATAGAAAAAAGAAGATAATGAAATCCAAATAAAAATACATTTCTACATTGGAGCTGCCAGGAAGTAAGCAAAAAAATATTTTGGAGCTATAGAGGGAATCAAATTTAAATGTACAGTTATTAAACAAATATAATTGTACAACAATTAATGTTGTTGATGTTAATGCTGATGGTTATATCGGATTTTCTGGAGGAGAATGTGTAGATATGAATTCCTTTTAAAAGAAAAAAAAAAACACAAATTGAATATTTTATTTTCAAACTACAAAAATAAGAAAATTCAACTTTGTGTAAAACACCATATTTTCATTGTATACAATTATAATTTTAGAAATCCCCCATAAGAATCCTCTAGACTGACCAACTGATGATTTTATGTACACATTGCATGACTTACTTTTTGGGGAAATGTTAAAAACAAAATATATTGTTCATGTACTAATTGATAAAAATCCATATTGAAAAAAGCAAATGCAATGTGTAATTAAACTTCTGAGATCATTAATGGTTGATGTTTATCCAGGAGTGTTGAGTTTTGACCATATCAGTAGCAACTGACTTACAGCAAGGTCAATAATGATATAACTTCTCCCGCCAGATCTGGTTTTTGATGCATAGGGTGTGCATTTTCTTTATATATTTAGAATTGCTGAAATGGAATGCTTTCTTACTGGTCAAAACTTAATTGATTTATGATTAAAAGCCAATCCTGAAGTATCCCCATGGTACATGTTTGAATGATATTGAAGTTAATGAGGTTCAAATAGGAAAATCCTTATTTATTCAATTGTGACACATACATTTTTGTCATGAAAATGTAGTTTAAAATGAAATTAGCTCCTAGACGGATGTCCCTATATGCCTGATTTTACCACATGTTGTTCCTTGACCAATTATCTTCAAAACCTTGTCTCAGATTTCCAAAAACATCAATAGAACAAATTTTATACCAAATTAAATTGAGTGATTTCTTATGAAATAAGGTTGCAAACTTAATTGAAGGGTTAAAAGAGAATGAAATACTGTAGTGGCCTGACCACTAAGTATAACCACGATTGGACTCAAGCAATAAGACTATCAGGTGCTGACAATTTATTCTCAAACCAATCTAAACAAATGGTAAAAAGCTGAAATACAAATAAAATACTAAAATACAATTTTACAATGTGTTCAATTAATGTTATTAAAGCGAAATGTCAAAAGTAATTGATAGCACAGTCCGTTGAATGCGAGAAAATGTTGTACTTTCAAGAACGGTTAAATTTCAGGTATTTCACGGAGAAAAGGTTCAAATATGTAGAGAGCAATTTGAAGGGTTCAAATACAATGTTGTAGAATTAACTCACTCTGTGGTTAGCCACGAATTGTGTCCAAGATGACGTTTGCCCTTGGAATGTTCTCCAGTACTGGTATGACCTTCCCAGTAGGCATTTCAACGTTTAAACAACGTTGAAACAACATCAATTTTCAACGTTGAAATGACGTTGAATGAACAGTTGGTTTTGAAAGTTGACATGACGTTGAAAATGTGACGTTGAAACAACGTTATTTTTCAACGTTGTAACAACGTTGATTTTTGGTTGAATATAAGTTGAAATCACGTCACAATTCAACAAAGAAACAACATTGGTTCATGTTGAAAATTTGAATTGTTTCAAATTTTACATTTCAAAGCCTTTTACAGCTTGCTGTGCGGTATTTGTAATGCTCATTGTTTAAGGCTGTAAAGTGTCCTATAATTGCTAACATCTACATTATTTGGTCTCATACACCACTATCTTGAGATATATTCATTCACCACAAAGATCTTGATGGTCACTCATCTTGGAGATATATTCATCCACAAGCAGCGAGATCTTGACAGTCACTCATCTTCAGATATATTTATACACTACAGGCACCAAGATCTTGATAGTCACTCATCTTGAGATATATTCATACACCACAAGCAGAGATCTTGACAGTCACTCATCTCGAGATATATTCATACACCACAAGCAGAGATCTTGACAGTCACTCATCTCGAGATATATTCATACACCACAAGCACCAAGATCTTGACAGTCACTCATCTTGAGATATATTCAAACACCACAAGCACCGAGATCTTGACAGTCACTCATCTTGAGATATATTCATACACCACAAGCACCAAGATCTTGACAGTCACTCATCTTGAGATATAATCATACACCACAAGCACCGAGATCTTGACAGTCACTCATCTTGAGATATAATCATACACCACAAGCACCGAGATCTTGACAGTCACTCATCTTGAGATATAATCATACACCACAAGCACCGAGATCTTGACAGTCACTCATCTTGAGATATAATCATACACCACAAGCACCGAGATCTTGACAGTCACTCATCTATAGATACAGCAATACCCCACAAACACCGAGATGATAAAGTGGATAGGTGTCTCATTTGCAATCATACCCTGTTTCATTGTCTTATAATACCTAACTCCAAAAAAATCTTAGCCATATGACTTATTTCTTGCAATTTTCCACTAATGACGAATCAGGCAAGATTTGATTTCGATATGACCTTTTAAACACTTTGGACAACAAATGTTGAGTCATGGCAATAGCTCACATTTCCTATAGGTGATTTAATAAATGAATACAATTAAACTCTTTAAATTCACTTTATTTCTGTGACATTTATTTTATTGTGGTCTTTCTCTACCACCTCCTCCAGCCCTTTCTGGAGCATACTTTAAGAACTTGGAAAGTTCCTCCTTTAGCTGTGTTTCCGTTATTTCAGGGTAGGCATTCATTACACACCCTGAAAATAAAACCAACAACATATCAATAACATAAATTCCATAAACAGATATTTGCATAGTATATTCATAAATATATTGTAATCATAGGTTAACAGTAGTTCACAAGTATAGGGATAAAATGTTCCTAGTTTGTTGGTTAACGGAACCCCCAATCTATTGTTGCCATTTTTCAGGGGGAAAAAAGATAAAAGCTCTTTAATTCCTGCCCAACTATACAATCCCCCCTTTTGGAATAATAAAATATGGACACCACATGCTATTTTTTCCTTGGATGATGTCATGAATTGTGTATCAAAAATGACAACTAAAAGCAGAAACTTCTTTAATATTAATATGTATGGTGGTAAATCTGCACTTATTCTTTAATATAGGTTTGTTGTTAACAAATTTTCAGACAACTTTTCTCATTAAAAAATCCAAAAACCAACATTTCAAAAAACCCTGGCCTTAATGAGCATTTTATAGCTCGTTCTTATGTTATACTGTTACACCACTGTCCCAGGTTAGGGGGAGGGTTGGTATCCTGCTAACATGTTTAACCCCGCCACATTCTGTATGTATGTGCCTGTCCCAAGTCAGGAGCCTGTAATTCAGTGGTTGTTGTTTGTTGATGTGTTACATATTTGTTTTTCGTTCATTTTTTTGTACATAAAATAGGCGTTCAAGTTTTCTCGTTTGAATTGTTTTACTTTTGTTATTTCAGGGCCTTTTATAGCTGACTATGCGGTATGGGCTTTGCTCTTTGTTGCAGGCCGCACGGTGACCTATAATTGTTTTAAAATTCTGTGTGATTTGGTCTCTTGAGAAGAGTTGTCTCATTGGCAATCATATCACATCTTTTTTTAAATATAGTTGACATCTTGAAAATAATGAAATAAAATGTAAAACTTAAATACAGATACGTAATGGTTGAGAAGGCCATTGACCTATTTCCAGTTAAAGATATTACTGAACATCAACAAGTTGGTGACCATATGATTTTTTTTCTCTTCTTAATATTTTGTGAAAATAACAAAATTTTGAAATCAACCTACCTGAAATAACTCTGTACAATTTTGTTTTTACAAATCCCACCTTATTTTTTTTCCCTTTCATGTTCATTTTTGACATTACACTGTTGGACATCATTCTGAAAAATAAAATCCGACCAATTTACAAATGTTGTTTAAGGCAAATAATATCTTTAGATTAATAGCTGTTTAATGTTCAGTAGTTATTACACCTTTTCATGTTAATGAATGATTACTTGCCGGTTAAGCTCTAACAGGCAATCCATAAGCATATTTCGAACAAGTTAATAAAAAATCTGTCAAGTGTTCTGCTGAACCTGTTGTAATGCCTGCTTTTGTTGCTGTCAAAAGTAATGTTATATTAACTGCCAATAATTATATTTAAATACAGAAATGAATACAAAGCATGCTTTTTCCCCAATGTTATATCCAATTCTAAAGTACATGTTCATTATTCAACCAACATCAAAGGACAAATAACATTCCTGTTTTTGAAAATGAAGTTGCAGACAAAATGCTATCTCTTACATAACCCTTTTGTGCAAGGGGAATATAAATCCTTGTTGATTACTCACCTTGTCATAGCCTTTTTCAGTAGGTCTTTAAAGTCTACTCCTCCTATTCTTCTCAAATATTCTCTCTAGAAAAAAATATTTATTATTCAAACAAGCTGTGTGTTTTCCGTGTTATAGCTTGAAAAGGTAATAGTGGCATTCTACAAAAATAAATTTTATCTGACTAAGGTCAATTCACAGGGTTAACTAGAACCACACTTTTTTTTTTAATCTTCCCTTTACTGTAATCAGCAACCATCATGCAAACACATGTCCTAAAGAAAATCATATACCTACAATTAATGAAGCTTCTTGGCTACGGATAACCCTTATATTCTTTCCTAAAAACTCCTCAGGTATTAATTAATCAGACCAAATTCAATATTCTTTTATATTTTTGGTAATCTGTTCAAAGTATTATCTTATACATTTTGTTACTACTATCTTGTAAAAATCAATTACAAGCAATATGAATAAGCTAAACGATGCATTTTTGGACTCTTCTTAATTTTTAAAGAAATCTGTTCAGGCATCTGTGGCTGATATACTGAAAGTTTTATCTAAATCTAAATTACTAAAACTATGAAGCATCAGAACTTACCAAATTATTTTGTTTAGCAATATTCTCTAATGCAGATTCTATTGCCTCTAACTCCTCCAGTGATTCAGCAGTTTCAAATTCACAATTCAGACTTGCAGTTTTACTGCATAGGGATGATTTCATCAGGTCTCTCACTTCAAATAGTATGTGAAATAATTTTCTCTGGAAACCTACAAAATAAACTAGAAATAAGCATGTTTAGATAAAAGGCATCAGTCATTTTACTGAGCTTGTGGAGTCGTCACTATTCTATAATACGTGATAATTAATTTTGATAACTGTTGATACTAAGGACATATTCTTTTAAATCTTGAAAAAATACTGTGAAAAGGTTTTTACCTATGAATATTTTAGTTTGAGTCTTTAATATAAACTAAATATTAAAATATTATTAACATGTCATTTATGTACATGTGTTTCAGCTTTGCTATCAAATTTGTAAGGAAATGGGGAAACAAATACTTATTTATATTGATATTTACGTTCTTCTGTCATTGGAAATGGATCAGAATTTCTCCTCCTGCTGGATGGTTCTGATGCTCTTTGGTCTTGTGTACTGATAGGACTTCTGCTAGGTGTGCAGTTAGAGATCTGACTAGGTTCATCTGGTGATGTTGACCTAGCCCCGAACTCAGACCTCTGGTTTGAAGGTTGGAAAGATGGCTGATTGCTCTGATATGGATGGTTGATTGGTGTAAATCTAGATGATTGAGGGCTCTGAAAGTGAGGTTGGACAGGTGGAAGTCTGGAGCTGGAAGGTTGGTTGCTCTGATATGGATGGCTGATGGGAAGAAATCTAGATGATTGAAGGCTCTGATAGTGTAGTTGAACAGGTGGAAGTGTGGAGCTGGAAGGTTGGTTGATGGGTGGTAATCTAGACGATTGAGGTTGGAGAAATGGTTGTCTGGTGCTTGATGTTGGAGTGCTCTGGTACCGACGAAAGATAGGTGGTAATTTAGAGCTGGAGCTTTCAACAGGTGGTGTACCAAATGCGATCTGTGAATTCTTATCCAAATAATCATACAATATTGAGGGAGATCCAGATCTATGTGCTGGAGAGCTGTGATGGTGTTGATTATATCCATGGGATGACTGAAAGGTTTGTTGCTGGACCTCAATTAATGGTGATATCGATCTAGATTTGTTGGATATTGGAGAAGTGGGATTTAGGTTACCACTCACTGGAGACACAGATGAGGAGGGCGATTGGGAGCCCTGTCTTATATCATCCATACATGTAAGGGGTGAACTTGATCTTTGACCTTTATACTTTTTTGATTGGCTATTCCTGCTAGGTGGTGACCGAGACCTCTTTTCTTTGACTTTTTCAGACTCTATAGAAACCAAAGAAACAAATTAATACAATTTTTTTTAAATTCTTGACTGAACAAAATAGTTTTTTACATTTTTGTTTTTAAAGTGTTTTCTGGAAATCTGTCGGACCTGCATTAGCTGCTCAAGTATAAAACTGTATGGTGTGCATTAGTTGCGTAACGTGTACAAGTGTACTTTTGACTGATAAACTACCTATAAGCCCTCTTTAGATGTGGAGAAAGATAATTTCTTCAAATGATCTCTCCTTGATCATTATAAAGGTACTGTCTCAAGACCATAAATTCTTTGATGGGTTGATAGTTATTGATGTCTTTGAAAACTAAAATTACAGAATGAAACTAAATTTTGTCACAAAAACAGTTGTCTTCAAATAAATAAAAATAACAGAAGTCACTGTTTATTAGTCTTAACTATAGCAGAAGTTTGTTCTTTTTAACGATCATTTATCACTTAAATTGTCCAAATTCCCTTTTTAAACTTTGTTTGAGTTGACATAATAGATGGTCAGTTGACTTTGTAGAGCTTTTAAATAAGTTGGTACTAGTTTAGTTTTATACAAGTTAACTATAATTCAAACAAGCCAATGGAAATTTGTAACAAATTACTACCTGCATATATATCCTTGTATTATGGGTTTCCGAAAGCATTGTGACTTAACAATTTTCATTGTCTGGCATTGAAAAAGCATGCATAGTAGTAGTACTACTAGCTGGGGAACCATAGCTCTAATTAAAAGGACATAAGGCTAAGAGCTACAGTTCCGCAGCTAGCATAGTTTGTACGAATTCATATGGAATTATAGTTATCTTGTACCAATGTCAACTCGTACCACTAAAAACTAACTCGTACCATGGTAAATTCATACCATTTCAAACTCGTACCAACTTATTTAAATGCATTCAAATGGTGTTTAAGGATGTTCGCTCCTCTTGTTTTTGACTTTTTGCCAGATTTTGCCCACTAACCCCTACTTCTCTTTCCATAATTTGATTACATATAGTTTAAAATGTCATCTTTGAAAATCTTATAAAATCCTTGTTATTTTTTCATTGTTTTTGAAAGAAAAAAGGTGCCAATGTTAACTGTATGAAAAATCTAGAGAGAATCATTTCCCACCAAATTTTCAATGGCTTATATCTCAAAAACAAGCACACAGACCCATAATTTTTTTCTTCTTTTTCAGTTCCGTTATTTATGTACTATCAATTTATAATAGTCTTTTAAAAAAGCTTGTTATTTTGAAACAGAGTAGCAAACATGCTTAATAAATTTCACTCAATACCTCACAAGTCTGTAAAAAGTATATAATTTAAAATCACAATGACCAATTTGTAGCTGATTTTTCCTTGGCTAATTGGATTAAGAAAACTCAAGGATACGTGGCCTACTTCGATTCCTCCTACTCTTGGGTTGACTAGAGTTAAAAGATCATGTGCATGTGCCCAACCTTTCCGAATCGAAGTCAAAACTCTCAAAATGGAAGATATTATTGTCAGAGGAAAATTTGTGAAAAAAAAATTTGTTCTGAGAAAAAAAAAACACCCCCCACCACCCCAACAAAAGATGAATTGTTGGTTTCCTTAAAGCATTCTGATAAACAGTCTAGGTGTATTAATGGGTTACTGAGCGACAGATGGACAGACAGTCAGATGGAGAAAGTGACCATATCCCCTTCAGTGTGATGTGCTGATATATCAAACTCTCCCGTGTTAATGTACGCCCAGAAATCCTACATAACATGCATAAGTGACATTGATATGGTAAAGTGAATGTATTTTTGTAATAAAAAATGTGCAACTCTGAGCATGATGAAATTAATTTCTGTTCTATTCATAAACATCACCGACAGTTAATATACACATGAACAATATTTGTTGATGCAAAAATAAATTCCCCTTATCAGCCTCTTTCTTCATCTATATTTTGTCAAATGTCAGTTATTTTGTATCATACTTTTCTTTGCTGGAGCTGCTTGATGCCATTTTGATAAACCTGCCCCAACCCAGGGTTGATGTTGGGATTTGCTATATACACGGGTCATAATCACACCTGAACTTTGTCATTGTACAGGGATTGACACTACTAAATTCAACCATTGTCACATGTAGTTTCCGATTGTAGTAAGAAAACCAGGACGGGTTTAACATACGGGCAGAGAAAACTGTGCAACTTATAATCAGCATGACTTTTATCAGATTAAAATCCAGACTAAAAATAAGGCGTAGGTACTTTAATTCAGTCACTGAACCGCGGGTGTGTTCTATAGTGTATTTTTAATGATATGAGTTTTTGCAAGGGTACGTTTGCAGTGGTGCAAGTTAACATTGGTACAAGTTAACATTAAGTGGTACGAGTTCAGTTCTACCAACTTTTAATAATGCAAATGCGTGCGATTTGGCCAAAATAGTAAAGATCAAAGAGAAAAAACAATAGATCAAAGGAAAATGACGACAAATAAGCATGAAAATGTGTGAGTCTCACGCTAAATGTGTGCGACTTGGCAGCCCTGCGAGTTGACATGGTACAAGTTAACTTGCTTCCATTCATACACAGGAATCAGAAATTCTATCAATAAAATTCTGTAAATAATAGTCGACTATCAATAGAGCTTCTCGTAGAGAAGCGAAAAGCTCTATTGATAGTCGACTTTATTATTTACAGAATTTTATTGATAGAATTTCCGATTCCTGTGATTCATATGAGCCATATGATGACATGCATGAGGTAAAATGTATAAAAACATACAATCTGACCTTATAAATGACATATATTCATGGACACTATTTTTTCCCATTGCCCTTATTCAATAAAACTATTGACAGGACATCGATCTTGTTCCTGTGCCTGTGGTGTGGGAAAAGGGGGTTAGCTGCTGATGATGCACCCCTCTTCACAATCGATCTAGGTACATGTACCAAGAAGTTATCAATAATTTTATACCAATAAAAAAAAAAATTCCCGTCTTAGGTACGATTCTTAACCACATTACTAATCACATTACTTCAATGATAAATTTAACTAAATTGGCGGGATTTTAAAAACACATGTACAAAATCAATTTACGAGTAAAACGACCTTTATTAACTCATGTCTCATGGAATTTGATATTTTTTAGGTAATTGACAGTTACATATGCATTTTGACAATTTCCAAACTTACAGCTTGATCATTTCCTTCTGCCATGTTCTTTAATCTTCTTTTCTGTTGTCTGTAATAATTTTCCTAAACTTCTAGAACGGTTTTGAATAAAGCATGTGCGCAGTCGCTGAATTGGGTTGTTCGGACACCCTTTAATGTTTACTTCATACTACATAAAACAATTCCGAGAGAACCCGATAGTAAACTTTAGTACGCGGGAAATTTGAAACGATAATATTAATAATATTATAAGTAGTTTAATTGGGCCTAATTTACACCTTTTATTTATTTTACGACAGCTTTTTTTTTCAAAGATGAAAACAAGAGAGACTGATCACTGACAAACCAGATAGATTTTTTTTAATTCTTTACAATACTTATTTTCAAAATAATTATGCAAACCAATTTTGAACATTGTTTAAAGCAAACTTTATAATATATATAATTACCATAGAAACTGCCTGCGTGTAAATATGACTGCTGTTGAATATTTAATGCTAGAACCATAGTTCAATGTAATAAAGCTTTAGTAAATTTTTATCATGCATTTTGACAAAAAATATATATATATATACAAAAAACGAGTACTTGAATGTTTGGTTCTGCAAATTAGTCATTACTCCTCAACAAGCACTATTATCTAACAATAAGATCTGACGATTGAGACAACAATTAAGACTGGAAGAAATGCTTTAGCTTTTTGAAGGGGGTTATAGGCAGGGGCGGATTCAGGCGGGTGCGAGGCGGGCGTGCGCCCCTAAAATTTGCAAAGCATGGGTTTGTTCTCAGCTTAATAGAGTATCTGAAGAGACTCAAGAATATTTCGCTTGGCGAAAATTTAAGTTTGCCCACCACCACCACCCAACCTAAAATTCTGGATCCGCCCCTGATCCTCTTGAAAAAACAATTATTTATGAATTTATTTTAATAAAAAAAACTCAATTGAATTCAATATATTAAAAGGACCTTTTCCCAACTTCATTGTTGACGTATCACCCAACCTAAACTAAACATTGAAACAA